CATTGTAATTAAGGTGGCTGAATTCTTTGCACGATAAAATCATCAGCAATCGAGCCTGACATTATTAGTTGTTTTTAAAATCCCAGCCTTGTCCTGCTGATCACAGGGATGACCTAGTTTAAACATATGGATATTTGTTTCATTTTATTTAGCTTCACTGGTAGTATTCATGCATGTGTTTAATTCTATTTTTGATCCAAACTGCCAGAATATATCTTTTTGTAGTAGGTTCTCTACGAGAAAAATGATTTAGAACTGTGTTTTAGAAAACAAACTCTGGCAGCTATATGGAAAAAGACTGGAAAGAAAAGAAATTAGAGGCATCCAAATCAGTTAGAAGGCTACTCCATTCGTGTATGGCAGAGGCAAGCCCTTTAAGTCAGGCAAAACCTCTAAAAAAAGAAACAAGAAGGAGTGGATATGAGAAAAGGAAGTCAACAGGATTTATTAGATGTAAAGACATGAACAAGGAAAGAGTGATGACAGTAAAGAAGATGGGCAACACTAGAAGAAAAACAAGGAAGATAATGAATTTTCTTCAAACATGCTGAGCTGGAAGTAGAGAGAAAGGGTAGCAAAGACCTGCCATTTCTCTTCCTTAATTTAGTTATATACTGTTTGAATTTTTAATATATTTAATTTGATAAAAGAGAAATTAAAAGAAAAAAGAAGTCAGGGTTCAGAGCAGGAGAAGGAAAGGGAGTTATCCTAAACTAGATGTTAATACAGAATATAGCATCATAACTTTGAAATATTTTGATTCTTCAAATATAACATTCCCAATTTAAAACCCAGGAAAAAAATAAATTTTGGTATACTCATACATTAGAATACTGTTCAGAAATTTAACAAAAAGAGAATGAACTACATGTAGGCAACAACATGGAAAAATTTTAAAATAATTATCATGATTTAAAGAAGTCGGACAAAGAGAGTCTATATTGTTTGATTTCATTTTTATAAAACTCTAGAAAATACAAACTGATCTATACTGACAGAAAGCAGGTAAGTGGTTTGCGAGACATGAAGAGTATATGAGCAGTCTGGAGATGCATGGGGAAACTTTTGGATGACATAGTTATGTTCATTATCTTGACAAATGTATACATATAAAAGTTACCAAACTGTACACTTTATTTTTATTTTTATTCTAGAGAGAGAGTGAGAGAGCGCTCAACTGGGATAGAGGGATAGAGGGAGAGACAGAGTATCTTAAGCAGGCTCCATGCTCAGCACAGAGCCTGAACTGGTGCTCAATCACATGACCCTAGGATCATGACCTGAGCAGAAATCAAGAGTTTGACTCTGAACCAACTGAGCCACCCAGGCACCCTTGTACACTTTAAATACATGCAGTTTGTTGTATGTTTAGAAAATATCTCAGAAAAAAACCTGTAAAGGACATATTTCCCTTCTTCTCCAGTTATTCTTATTTTCAGTGGAAGTTCCTAGGCTTTTTATAGCTAAATTCTCTTTTTAAATTATCCCTTTTTCTATAAGTAAAGCTTTTAAAAATAACTAGTAACAACAAAAAATTCACTTTGAAAAAACAAAAATCTAAGTTACAAAATTGAGAACTCTGACCAATCTGAACAAATGTTGCTTCAAAAAGCTGGATAACTGGAAAACCACAGCAAAAAATGCCAACCACAAACCCAAACTCTAACCTTAATCATGACCTTAAATTTAACTCTACCACTAACCAGTATCCCCTAAATTCTAACCACTAACTCTAACCACAAACTTAACCTCTGGAGACATCTCTGACCTGCAGGATATGAAGCACCCTAACCCTAGCTCTAAACCTAACTCTAACCCAAACCCAAACACTAACCCTAACCCTAACCTTAAACCCATTCCTCTGAAGAGATCTCTGACATTCAGGATAACAGGCACATACCCTCACTCTGGCCTTAACCCTAACTCTATTCTAGCCCTAAACTGAACCCTAATCCTAGATCTGAGGGGAAAAAAAGAGTTGGTATATATTTACATACATACATACACACAATGGAATATTATTACTCAGCCATAAAAAAGAATGAAATCTTATCTTTTGCAATGACATGGATGGAACTAGAGAGTATTATTCTAAGTGAAGTAAGTCAGAGAAAGACAAATACCATAACATTTCACTCATATGTGGAATTTAAGAAACAAAACAAATAAGGAAATGGAAAAGAAGGAAGGAAACAGAATTTGTAGTATTTCTGAAAATGAGTGTGTAGAGATCAAAACAGTTAAAAGAAAAGAAAACCCCAGCAAAGGAACTTGGCATTACTGAAAGTAAATGTATGATTTCCATTATTTCAATACCGAAAGTAGTCACTGATTTCCTCAACCCAACTCATCCACCAGTATTATCTCTAAAGTATCCCCAGGGACTCGCCAATGTGTATTCTAATCTAAAATTGTCCTCTTATGTCTTCAACAAACCTACTAAAAGTACTTCACTAGTAGGTACCCTAAAGTAATTTTATCCCCCAAATGATCAACTTACTCTGTACAATCACATGCAGCTCAAACTGTTTTTTGGTTAGAAAGCAAGTATGAAATAATAATTACCAGAAAGACTATATAGGTAATTAACTATTTCAACACTGACAGTTCAGAATAAACAACTATCATAAGCTTTCTTTTTAAAATTTTTTTAATGTTTATTATTTATTTTGGGAGAGAGAGAGACAGAGAGAGACAGAGTACAAGCAGTGGAGGGGCAGATAGAGAGAGACACACACAGAATCCAAAGCAGGCTCTAGGCTCTGAGCTGTCAGCTCAAAGCCCGAAGGAGGGCTCGAACTCAGGAACTGTGAGATCATTTACCTGAGCGGAAGTAGGACGCTTTAACCGACTGAGCCACCCGGGCGCCCCTAGCATAACTTCTTTAATGACCTCCATGTAGGCAATGAAAAACAATGGGCAATTCATATCTCTTAGCTTCAATGAGAAAGATTAAGTTCACATCCCTCTGCCTTGATCAAGAAGAGATCTTGTCCTTGGGGTGCCTGGGTGGCTCAGTCGGTTAAAGCCTCGGACTTCAGCTCAGCTCATGACCTGGAGATTCCGGAGTTCGAGCCCTGTATAGTGCTGACAGTTCAGAGACTGGAGCCTGCTTCAGATTCCATGTCTCCCTCTCTCTCTCTCTGCCCCTCCCCCTGCTCCTGCTCTGTCTCTCTCTCAAAAATAAATAAACATTAAAAAAAAGAAAAAAAAGAAAAAAAAAAAGAAGTGATCTTGTCCAAATTGGGAAGATCACCTCTGTATTGCTGACTGCAGGTTAGATAGGTAAATAGGAGCAGAACAGAAGCCTACATGGTCAGATCAGCAAATCAATTCTCAAGTCCTACACATCAAGAAGGGACAGACATAAAATTTGAATCTTGATAAGACTTAAAATGTAGACCAACAAACATTTTACAATAGGGATTTACTGTACTTTTACTATTAGGAAGATAAAGACACTGGAACATCTGGACTGATGAGTAAATGACTACTGTAGAAAGCTTAATGATCATTTAAATATATATGAAATATATACATATGAAATACATACTTACATGTATTTTGATTTACAAAATGCTATGAAATAACAAGCACTCCTAACACAAGGCCCTCAAATTAGTCATTTCCTGGAACTTAAGTGAGAGCTAGTTCATTTGCCTTCATTCCATTAAAATCAAGGTACTACATTCGAAATGAAGACTCCTAAATCTCTACACTGGTAACACTCAGCAGTGAGACCATGGGCAAATCATAGATTCTCTCTGGGCTGAAAGTGTGTGATTCTAAGATGTAGAGAAACCAAGAGCTTGAGTCACAAGATCTATGACTCTCACAGCAAGACCAAATAAGGTTTCCCATAATCCATACTTCATTCCAGTGCCTCTCTCGAAAGCCATAATTTTGTAAATATTTTTTAAATGGCCGCAGATGTTGATTACACAAAATACTTGATACTGTAAAATCTGTTCAAGTCTTCAAGAATATAATCTGTCTTTATCAAGCCTCCAGTGTATATTAAGCAGCCATTAGTGACTGCTCTTCCCCTATGCTTTAAGAATAATGGTAAAAAAATGTTTACATACCCATAGGTGAAAATAATTGTCAAGTAACTTTTACTCTTATACGCACATTAAATACTTGTAACCGTTATTCCTAAATACACTTAAAATGTCATCCTAAAACTGAATGTGCATGGTAGTCTATTATGGGATTGGTTAATGTTTTGGCACCTAAACCTTTTCACTGTTAGTCACTCATTTTAAAGCTACCACTAATTGATTTTTCCAAAAAGGTCTTAATCCACAGCAGTAAGGGATAGATTCCTTCAAAATTGAAGAGGCACTGGGTCTTATGAATCAAAATAATTTTTCCTTATTATTAAAGATTAAAAAGTGGAAAAGAATATTTAGGTATTTTGTATTTTAAAAATTACGTTATGACATTAAATAGAAAGCAAGAAAATCATGAGAATGTGTAGGAAAATATAGCAGAAATATTTCTCAGCATTTCCCAAAATGTTGAGAGGTTAGTCCTTGATGGTGAAGATTATCGGTGGGATTTTCTTTCTTTTATATATATCAATTTTTATAACGGGGAAAAAATCTAAATAATTTAAATAATTGACTCATAAAACGCGTAGGGTATCCCTCCACTAAAGTCACAAAGATCATAACACCAGAGAAGACACTGAAATAGGAACAAAGAGTTTTGTGAATATTCTAACAGATATACCCTTAAATATTAGAACCCTCCACAAAGAGAAGAACCTCCTTATCTGATAATAATAAAAAGAATAGCAAAGAACCGCATGTCATTTCGCCTCACAATACCTCACAATTGGAACGTGGCTCAAATAAATCCCACTAATTATAGAGCCTCAAACACTCATTCCCAACTACTCCAGCACTCTGGCAGCCTCCCCCTCCCCACCGCCCCGTCAAGTGTACGCTATTTGGATTGAAAGTATGGACTTAATTGTCCCTCTTCAAGAATCTTACTCATAATCACTACTCGTTGAGGAATATGAACCCGAGTCGCTGACCCGATCTTCATAATCGCAATTCTCATCTTCTTGTGACGAGGGATCTCCAGGGACCTCATCTGGGCTCTGACGCGAGCCACACGAAACCGGAGACGCCATCATCACGGATGCAGTAGCTACCAGTAATGTAATTCAAATCTCGCAGCTACCGCTCGCCATGGCCGCCATGTTGTCTCCGCTTGGAAAGGCGCAGAGCTCACGTGACCGCCAATCCTTGGCTGCAATTGGTGGCAGCTTGAGTTGCCAGGGAGACAAGGAAGCTTTCCCGAGAGAGAGAACTGAAAGACGCCAACGAGGTGAAATTTCTAGGAGGGCGTCTCACTTGGAGGAATATAAGTAGCTAAAACTTCACCACTTAGGCTCTCCCAAACGCACTCCTTGGAGCAGTATAATTTATTAACAGCAGAGACCCATTTTTTTCCTTCCCCTTTTCTTCTAGTTTGCCCTTTGCCCTGTGTTTCTAAACCGAACAGCTGCCCAAAGCCTTAGAGGCTTTCCACTTGGGGTTCCCATGCGGTAAAGGAAACTCCTACGTACCTTTCCTCAGGGCCTCTGCATCTGTGCTGGGAAGAGAGCTTTTAAGCAAATCCACTAGGTGTTAATGTAAATAGGCTCCATTGTTTCTTTGGTTTTCTTATTGTTTCACAATTGCAAACATTTTTATAGTTTTCCAAGCAGATACTGTAAATTGCTTAAAATAGGAGGCAATGTGAAATCAACTGCGCGTTCATTTAGTAATTGTATAATTTGATTAAGTGTTATCACTGAAGTTGGAAGTGTATACTGGTAAATTTTATCGGTATTTTACGAATACCTACAAGTATTTTTTTTCTAAGTACAAAATAATAGCCTTTATTGAGAATCAGCCATTTCTCAAATTACTTGTTCTATTGAGATACTATGCTGGGTATTCACATACTATGAAGTAAATATCCGTATACTAAAATAAGAAAACTGAAGGTTGGGTTATTCATCTTAATGATCACATGGGTAGAAGGCAGCAAAGCCACATAAGAATTGAACCTAGGTTATGAACTACTAGATTATATTTCCTCCTCAGGATCTAGTAATTCAACTATTACAGATCTAAGAAAATAAAGGATGCAAAAAATTTTATGAAGTTTGTGAAAGTGGAAAGCTGAAAGCAATCTAAATATTCAACAATAGGGGAAAAGTTAAATAATATACTTTTCTACATGAAATATAAATATTATGATAGAAGTATTTTCAAAGAATAATTCAAGGGAAATATTCATGTTATAGCAAGTTAAAAGATATAATATTTTATGATTTCAATGGATGGATGCTGGAGATTCAACTTAAATTTCATGGGCAGATGGTGGAGACTGAAATGGGCAATTTTTAACAGTGGTAAGTATCATGATAAATAGAGTTCTAAGGAATTACCCAAAGGAAGATAGACTGGGGCATGGAGAGCCATAGCAAATTTCTTGCAGTAAGTCTGAACTTCTCTTGTTTTATGGGGTATTATGTTCCAAACAGAGAAGGGTAGAGATAAGTAAGTCTTCCCATGGCCCAAAGTGGTTATATGCATGCAGAATTCAAAAGAGTCTGAGCAGTAGCAGGCCAATAGTATTTAAACTTTCAAGCTGCAGTTTAGTTCCATTTGTCACATTAAACTCTGTACATTCAAATAGCCTAAATTTTAAGGTTTTGCTGTACTAATTTCTAAATGTGCTTTTTCATAGTTGTATCCCAGCTATTGAATAGTTTTTTAGCTTAATTTGAATTTATAAAATTGTTTTTATCTTATATGAGAGCTATAGAGCACAGAGCTTATACCTGTTTATTTAAAATTATAATGTAAAAAAGTTTAAGTCATTCCTGGAAATCCACATCCGTTTTTTTCCTTAGGAGAGGTCTATATATGACTCAGATTGGAGAACAAGGGACTAATCCATAAAGGGATATTGGGGCAAAGGAGGTCCTTGAGGTGGCAGGAGAATCTGGCACCTATAGCACAGATGGAAGGACATGACCTTACTGACATATCTTCCTCCAACGTGGATCGTAAAGGAAGGTGCAGGTGCGGATGCTGATTTGCCAGTTTTAGTCAGGAAGTTGAAACATTCTCCATTACATAATGGTGTTTATTTTCTCAGGTAAGTAGAAGGCAACCTTGCCAGGTGAAAATGAGGTAAGGTAATGGAGTTAGAAGTTTGAAGAGAATGGATCCCAGAAGGGAGGGAAACAAATATTTCCATCAACACTGAGGTCCAAAAACTGTACTTGAAATCAGAGAAACAATATTATAAAAAAAAGTTGGAATCACTGCAATAGTTATACTATGTTTCATGTTAAAATATACATACTTAACTCTCACCACAATCTCAAATGTTAAGAATTTTAACATTTTAAAAGCATCTTATTTGGAAGTAAAAAAAAAAAAGACATTCTAAATAGTAACAAAAAAACCCCACATTTTCTTCTATAAATGACACTCTTTTCTTTATAAACATCTAATGATTTCATGCACTGCTCAAAAATGTTCCATGCCACCCCATTAGAGAATAAACTCCAAACTATGTAGTCTCTTTAAAAAAAAAAAAAGATTCCAATTCTACAAACAATTGTGCACCACTTAGAAATTAGATGCTTTGGGGCGCCTGGGTGGCTTAGTCGGTTAAGCGTCCGACTTTCGCTTAGGTCATGAACTCGCGGTTCGTGGGTTCGAGCCCCGCGTCGGGCTCTGTGCTGACTGCCAGCTCGGGGCCTGGAGCCTGTTTCGGTCTGTGACTCCCTCTCTCTCTGACCCTCCCCTGCTCACGCTGTCTCTCTCTCTATCTCCTAGAAATAAATAAAGCATTAAAAATTAAAAAAAAAAGAAAGAAATTAGATGCTTTATTTCCTGCATTAATCAAGTTAATCAAATGTGCCCAACTTGCCAGATCAAAAGATCCTCTCGGGTTCTTGTTAAATATAGAGATTTTGAGACCTGTCCCACTTCTGAAAAATCAGAATCTCCAGGGAAGTTGGCCTGGAAATCTCTATTTTAAATAAATGGTCCCACCCCTCAATGATCCATAGATTTAGGTAAACTTGGGAAACACTGCCCCAAGCCTCCCCTCAGTTCTAATGCTTATTATCTGCAAGCTCACTGACCGTTTCCACAATGGGCTAGAACTTACTAGACCTCCTGATTTTAGGTCTGGCAGACAGACCTCTCCCTTGCTCCAGAACCTACCATCTATAGAATCTTGAGCAAATCAACCTCTCTGAGCCTCACTTTCCTTATTGGTAAATTCAGATATTGATATGTACTTCATAGGACTGTTTAGAGGTCTAATAAGTCAATGTATGTAAGATACATAGCACATAAAGTGTCAAAAAAACTTAAGCTATTTTATAGATCATTTATTTACTCATGCAGTCTTGCATTGCAAAAGCCTATATTTTCCTTCAAGATCCAATTTGCAAGAAGCCTTCACACACTCTTTTTCTATGTCAGTGACAATTCCTCTTTCCACCTTCCCCTTATATCCAATACAGTTTTGTTATAACAAGTATCAGTCTTCTTAGTATCTAAATTATTTAGGAATCTTTGCTACCAAATGACAAATTCCTGGAAGATATGACCGGGTCTTTTTTGTTTTTGTTTTTGTTTTTTTTTTCAATCTTTCATTTTACGTAAGGTTGAATAGGAGCAAGAAGTGCCATATAAAGGTATCTTTTAAGAAATGTTCTTCACTCTAGATATGTCTCTGAGTTAACTTCCTTGGTTAGTCTATTTCCATATGTTAGATTAATAGACAAAATCTGCACCCCCAAAGGGTTATCACTTTCCTGATCTTTCACAAAAGAAAAAAATAATAGCAATTATTTTATATTCTTATTTAAATTTTCAGGGTGTGACATTAACTAATCAGATTTCCTGCTTTATGTCATATTTGTACTAAATTAATATTTTACAACCTTAGATTTACTAGAGGGAATGAAGAATGGAAAAGATTAACATGCAATTTTCAGGGCCTTTTAAAAAATACTGACTTTGTTTTATACTTAGCAATTGCTGGAAGACTTAAAAGAGACTGGGGTATATTCTCAATTTTTATTTTCTACTATACAGATGGCCAACCATCTCTAAGAACTAAATATGTTTAGTTTAGTATATATATGACATAAAGTCCTTATTTTCATAGTTTACTCTCTCAATTAGGCAAACAACAAAATTCTGACATAAAATAACCCAGATAAGAACATAATTAAATATTTAGCATTTTTAGCAGGTCCAAGAGTTCTTTGGCTAGTAGTAATGGAAGCTAGCAATGAGAAGTAAATGAAAACAGGGCCACTTGACGTCATGTCCATTAAAAAATTTTAAACTGCAAGGTTAAAATTCACAGAACTTTGCATTGTTAGATACTAATATCCTCTTAATTATAAACATGAAAATAATTCATGAGCCGTGTGGTAATCCTGACAACCCCAACCATTTTAAAAACCATGAATAAATAATTTGGTAGACCAGCAAAACAGCATTTTAAAAACTGAGGCATCATAATGTGGGATTTTTAGAATTTGAGATAGTCATAAATGAATAACATTTCAGCAGTTCTATGTTTATAGAATTGGATTATCTAAAATTCTAATTTTCCTATATAAAAATTGAATTACCAGTTAAAATGTATAGACCTTGTTCCATAGAAATCATGCATTCTCTATTTGAATAATAATGAAATACATATGAGAACACAGAGGTAAACATAAAAGTAACTGAAGTAGATGGCACAAAGCTCAAGCCCAAAACCCTTAATTTACCCCTATTTATCCTCATTTTATACTTTCATTTACAAATTATAAAAAGTTGATGAAACGTTCTACTGCCATAAATCAGTAGCTGCCAATCAGAAGGAAGGGAGGCCTCCTTAAAACAGAAATACAATAGCAGCAGAAATTGTTGATGGCTGACAATCTGCCAATGAAGAGGAAATCAGAAACAAAAAGCAGACACAGGAATTACCAAAAAAAATAAAAAAACAAAAACAAAAACAAAAATTCATAGCTTATAATTGAGTATCAATTGCCCTCAACAGCACCTAAAATTAAAAAAAAGAAGAAGAAAGAAACAAAGAAAATTACTGCATTGTCCAGCCCTACAGTAATTTGATAAGACTGAAAATGCTTGATAA